TGCATAAAACGACAATTGAGTGAATTTCTTGCGCGAAACATTAGCAGTTTATAAGAGAAACTTACGCCGCTCCATGGCTGTAAGCTCATTTCAGATGCAGAAAGTAGACCACCCTCATCCATTGCGCCACCGTCCCCTTTAAGTAATGAAAATCTTTTTCCGACTGATAAAATGCTTTTTAATTATTTGAAATATAATTTGTCAGACTGTACGAATTTCTCTCTCTCACTCTCCGTACGTATTTCCAAGATAGTAAGCGAATACCGGTATGTAGGAAGGATGCAGTATGCTTTTCTCTGTAGTCATTTCTCTGGCTTTAAACTACTGGCTATTTGGCATCGTGGCTGATTATAGATGATACGGTATGCTCCGTGAATAGCATGCCGTTAGATCCTATTCACAGATATGCGCATCAGGCCGACATTTACAAGACAAATTTCTTGCCCAAAAATTGCGAAACAGCTGTTTGTTTATTTGATCTGATTATAATTTGCGCTTTGTGCTGGTTCAGGTCAGTGCTCAGTTGAGTGAGACTGCTGTGCTGGCGTTAAGTGTACGCAGCGAAACCGCATGACCGTAAGTTTCCCGAGCGTTTGCGTAACCGCGTCATAGTGTATGCTGATCGTTCGCAAGTAATCGACTTTGTACCCGTTTCCCGGCAGATTGCATTGCTGCACAATGGAACTAACTGCTTACTTAAAGGATTGGAATTTAAGAAGAAATGATGTACTGTTTGAATTGAATTGAATTTTTACTGCTTGAATTGCATCACCAATAAACACCATTTTCAGCATGTAGGAAAACAAACATGGCAAATATCAAAGGAGAGAAAAAACAAAGAACTAATCGAATAGACAGTATACATCACCAATACAGAGCTCAAAGACTAGAGGAATATAAATAATATAGAGCAAGAAGTCAACTGATGCACAAGGAGGAAGCGAAAATAGGCTTATTCAACATTAAGCATGCGGAGATAGAGTTGCCTAAATGCTTCAGGATCTCGGAGGATCCGTGTTAATGTTGGGACAATTAATTTGCTGTGATGCTCTGTTCTGGGGTACGAATTTTCGAATCGAGACCTTATGGAAGGGTGTCTAGATATACCCCGTACAAAATCATTATACAGGGGATGAGCACTGTTTGCGAGGATATTGTCGCTTATCTAAACTGCGTGATTTAATACAAAATCACTGACTTTCATTTTTAAGGCGTTTAGTGAATGTCCATCACTAGCTTGAGGGAAGTCTCAAAGTTTTGTTTTCACATTTTAATAATCACAAAAAATAATCGCAGCGGCATAAATAAATAATAACAGCCCACATGGGTAGATAAAGTTTTTAAATGCATCAGGAGGAGCATGGAGGTTTCGCAATCTCTGGATGAAGAGCGATGTACAGCAAGTACAAGTCGCCACTGAATTCGTTTATTCATGTAAAGAGAAGTCAGAGTACGTGATAACAGGTCTTTTATATTTCAATACCAGCCACAGTCTCATCAAAGAGAGTGAGTGGCCGGGATGGTTGGTCTAGTAGTTGTTCATTGCTAGTGCCGTACATGCTGCAGATCCTCTCAGATGTGAAATGATGGTTCAGCTGGAGCTCGTTGATTGAGAAACATTGGCAAATCTTCGTCACACCGTTTACATACGTTTTCCAATCCAGAGGTGACCTTAGACAGTCCACGACGACTGTTTCATCAGCATACTTAAAGCACTGAAGAGGTAAGTTGGTAATGCAGTCGTTGGTGTAAATGTTGAACAGTATGGGTGATAGACTGAGCCATGCACAACACCAAGGTTTTTCTCCATGAGGCAGGGTTTCTTACCACCATTGTTGACAAATTGACGGCAGCGAGAAAGATAATTTGCCAGCCATTGGACACTTGAAGGGCCGATAGTTAATCTGTTCAGCTAGTATAACAGCTTATTGCGAGGAATCATATTGAACTCCGTGGTTTGATCATTGAATGTGGAACAGCGGATTCTTTATCCTTTATCGAGTTGTTTTACGACTGCATGAGTTACATAGGCAGTTGCATCTTCTGTTCCGATTTTTCCTTTGTGTGCGAATTGACGTAGGTCACTTGCGAAAGCAGCTTTCGTTCTGTGGCTGGCAGAACTAACAGCTCGAGGCATTAAAGAAGGTCTGACGTCATTGCAATTGGACGGAATACCTCAGGACCTTTTGCGTTCCATTTTTGATACTGGAACAATGCAGGAAATGCGCCATCGTCAGAAATCAGTGACCGGCGTAAGCACACGTTAAACACGTTTTTCAGAACGTCACAAAAGAGCAAGGCACAGTTTCGTTAACAGGGACACACTCTGTCGGGGCCGGGAGATGCATTAGATCGAAGGCCAGCCAAACGATTTCGAACCTCTGCTGCTGTGAACTGAACAGGTGACTCACTTGTTGCTGAACATGGGATTAGGAATTCACGAGGTGACGGATGTTGTTTTTCGTTGGCCAGAACGCGCTCGTTGAACTTTTTAGATCCACAGTGGAGGTTGTGACCTACGTGATGTTGCGCAGCGACTTAATATTATGCCAGTAGTTCTTTGGATTGTCATCATCAAAGCAGTGGGATGCATAGAACATGTTGAGTTGGCTGATTTCCGTTATAATTTTAAACGACAGGCTGGGCCGATGGTCACCGCTTTGATATGATCTTTCTTTCAGCCCGTAAAGGAGCTGAAAGCATGCTGAAGTAATTCTACATTCAGAAATTAAAATCTTCTGCGTCGGGCAGAAAGCATTGAGGCTGTCGTTGAGAACAGTGATGATTATCTGCTGGGTGCTATTAAGTTTTTCCTGACTTCGAATCAGTCAGACATGTGGAGTGATGCAGAAACTTAAATATTCTATGGTGATGGACGGAGAACTGAGCAGATGTACGAAGCGTCATGTGTTCAGGTCTACCAACCTAGCTTCATGTGCTCTGACGTGTGATGTGTTCCGAAATGGAGCGACTGCCGGAGAAAGCGTCAGGAATAAGGTCCCTTTGAAGGGATGTTGCTGTAACTAGGCTCTGCGAGCTTTGAAAGGTGACAGTTTAAAACACTGTTTTGTTAGCTGTTTCTGTCAATGGACCACTGTAGATTATGGGCATGTTGAGAATACCACTCGGAAAACTTAGATTCTTTGGTCCTACCTTATAGAAGGCGGCTACATACTTGAAGCCAGACGGCTAGATTAATACTAGGCATTGAATATGCGACGTTTTGAAAACCTATTTGTAAGATTTACTCGACTTTCGAAATACTCAGACTATTGGAAATGTCACCTAAAGCTGCTGTTTCTGCAGTCCGAATGAGAGTGGGTTCTGTCAATGAATGACGGCACGATTTCGACATTTCGATTGGTCGCTCACAAGTCTTCGCATAAGTGATTAAGGTAAAATTTCTGGCACAAAATATCGTTTATTTGTGTCGTCACGGAGTTAGGCGATAGTAGTTTCTCTGCGGCCCCACTTGAAAGTCAGCATAACTCATTCTTTATCCTGTGTCACGAGCGAAGCGTTTCATTCGCATTCTAGAAGGCTTTTGCGGTGCAAGTCGAAATGGCCGTAATGAATGATTCTTATAAGAACTTGCTTACTTTACGCTAGAATATATGCTGTTTAGGAAGGTATGCAAA